TGTGTGGATAATAATTGGCAGGGATAAGTGATAACGCCAGGTGATACACATGAAAGCAGAAGATTTCATTTCATTCTCTTAGAGCTTGTTCAGGTATGCTAAGGGCTGCAGAAAGAATTCACCATCTGAAGTTCAAATGTGATTTTTGGTGCTGGTCAAGCACCTGTTTCAGGTTGTGTTGTACTTGTTTCCTCTGTTAGCAAAAGGCTTGCTTTAAAATGTCTTTTCTAGCTTTTTGTAGTTGAAGTTTTAAAAGAAATGTTAGAATAGGAAAGCAGAATCTGTATGTTGATAGATTTGCATTGTTATTCTTTAAGTATTTTATTTTTTGTAATTTTGATAATTATAGTTTTCAATTTGAAAGGCTAAAACAAAGGACTCTCTTTTTAAAAGGACACCAATTACAAACAAACAAAAATAACCCAATAACAGAATCCACAAATCTTGCATTTATTGACAGTGATCTAAAGCAAAAATAGTTTAGTTTTTCTGAACAGTAGTCTTGTGTATCTTTTATATGCTCAGGATAAAAATCAAGGGTAATGTTTGGAATTTCCCTCTTCTAAATATTGTCTTAATTCTATTGTCTTGATTTTTGTTTTTATATTTAGGTATGTGGATACATTAGAGGAGTGTGAAAGAGAAGGAGGCTTGTTTTTCATCCCTCACCTATCCAGCCAGCTGTGATATCTTCCGTATCAGCAGTACTATTGCTAAGAAGCCCAGGTACTTACACTGTTTTTCTGGAATATTAATAATTAATTCACATTTGTATATTAGCCTGATTAAAATGAAAATTTATCCTTCTTCTTTAATCTGCCCTGTGAGACCACAGCTGGAGTACTTTGTGTAGTTCTGAGCTCCTCATTTCAAGAAAAACAGCAAACTGGAGAGAGTCTGACAGAGGGCCACAAAGATAATTAGAGGCCTGGAGCTTCTCCCTTACAAGGAGAGGCTGGGAGACCTGGGACTATTCAGTTTAGAGAAGAAAAGGCTAAGAGGAGATCTTATCAATTCTTATGAATGTCTAATGGCTGGGAGTCAAGTAGAGGGGGTCAGGCTCCTTTCAAGGATAGAACAGAGGATAACGAATATGCAAGTTCTGTATGAACATCAGGAAAAACTTTTGAGGGTGGCAGAGCACTGGAGCAGAATGTATAGAGAAGTTGTGGAATCTGTTATCTGGAGATATTCAAAACCTACCTGCATGCTTTCCTGTGTAACCTACTTCAGCAGAGGAGTTGAACTAGATGGTCTCTAGAAATCCATTCCAACTTCTATGGTTTTGTGAATAGAGGCTCAAAGGTGCAGCAGCATAACATGGCTTTGCTGTTGGCATTAAAAAAAGAAAAGAGAAGTGCCTTGAAATTGCAATCTTGAATCTCTTTATTTGTTGAAGCGGTTGTAAATGTCTGTTCACTGCAGACAGGCATGAGACAGAACAGAGTGCAGGACTGTTTGGTTGCCCACTCCTAGTATGTCACTGTGTATGGATTCAGTATCATGAAGCACCAAAGTAAGAAGAGAAGAACTCGGTCATTATACCAGTACAGTCTGGACACTGAATTTCTAAACAGCAACTGCATTTCTGAGAGTCTTTTTAAATTATTATAATAACCTAAGGCTTTGGATTTAAAACATTCATCCATTTATACTCTAGGCAAACTGTCTATTTTGTCTCTGCCTCAAGCCACCTTTTGGTCTGGATTCCACCTGGTATGAGGTGCAGAGATTTGGGTACTCCTAAGGATGTAAAAATAGGAGAATAAAGGTTTAAATGGGAAGCTAATTTCTGTACATATTGGGGATTCAAGCAGTTTCAATACTGTAAACTTAAAATAGCTACTCATGTCTGCAGAATGGATACACTTCTGAAGTTTGAGAGCTGAATATTAAATGACTGTGGTAATGTTCAGATTTATTAAGTCAATGATTATATCTGCTGTAGCTTCACTCTTGAAGTCTCTATGCAATTTTTAAGTTTTTCTACTTAATATGAGTATAGAACTCTTTTGTGGTGTTGATAAAGAAAAGAGTGTGAAATTTCAAAGTGTATGGAAAAATAACATTGCACTTGATGTACTCAATAGAGGCTGGTCAGTCTTACATGGATCCCTGAGGAGGTGTTGGAGCAGATAATTCTGGCAGATATTTCCAAACGTGAAGAATGAGGACGTAATTGGGTATGCTTATTGTAGATTTAGAAAGGACGAATCAGGCTTGGCCAATCTAATAACCTCCTACAATGCAGTCACTATTTTGAAGGAACAGTGGATAATGTATGCCTTCAGCAAGGCTTTCAACAGTCTTCCATAACACCTTCATTAAAAAAATGATGAGATACGAGTTAGAAAAATAGGCAATGAGGTGAGTTATAACTGGCTGAACTGCAGAGATGTATGCGTTGAGAACAGTGGTATAATCCAGCCGCTGGTCACCAGTAGTTTATCTTGGGAATTAATGCTTGGGCAAAAACTATTTTGTTAATGATGATACAGAGTACATTCATCAAATTTTCAGATGATATAAAACCAAGTAGAGTGGTTGTTTCACCAGACAGTGGTGTTACGCTGCAGATGAACTTTGACAGGCTTGAGAAATGAATGAGGGGGAACATCATGAAGTTCACCAAAGCAGAGGCGCACAAAGTCCCATACTTGGGATGGAATGTACCCATGCAGCTGTATAGGCTTGAGGCTGACAGTCTGGAAAGTAACTTTGAAGAAGAGGACCTGGGTGGTGTCATGGTCATCCTCTTAGATGACAAGTTAACTGTGAGGCAGCCAAAGAATGTCAACAGCATCTTGAGCTGCAGTAGGAAGACCATCACCAGTATCTTAAGGGTGATACTTTTTTTGCCCCCACAAGGGGCTGGAGAGATTGTGTATCTAGTTTTGTATACAGAAACATGAGAGACATTAACATTCTCAAGCAAGTTCAATGAAGGCCAGTGAGGAATGGCTTGGAGCATGTGTTAGAGAAGCTGAGAGAGCAGACTGTGTATGAACTGGAGAGGGTGCCTTGAGGATCTTGTCAGTATTTGTAAATTTCTAAAGGGAGGGAGTAAAGAAGATAGACCCAGACTTTCCTCAGTGGTTGTTGAGGAATGAAGCAAGAAGAAGTGGGTGGAGACTGAAATATAGAAAATTGCTTAAATATAAGCAACAGCTTTGTAACTTTCAGTTAAGACTCAAATAGCTTGATGAGAGGTGATGGAGTCCCTATGTGTGGAGGTAGTCTAAATCTGACGGCATAGTCATGAGCGCTTTGCTTAGATGATCTCCAGAGGTCCCTTCCTGCTTCAATGTGGAAATAATTTTACATGTTTTACTTAATCATCTGAAGAATCAGTAGGGAACGTGCAGGTTTTTTTTTTTTTTTTTTCCATAGAACTATAGAATAGTTTGGGTTGGAAGGGACCTTTCATCTAGTTCCAAACCCCCTGCTTATAGGCAGAGACTCCTCCATCTAGACCAGGTTCCTCAAAGCCTAGTCCACCCTGGCCTTGAACGCCTCCAGGGAGGGAGCATCTGCAACCTCACTGCAACTTGTTCCAGTGTCCTACCACCCATGCAGTAAATAATTTCTTTCCTAATATCTAGTCTAACTCTTCCAGTTTAAAGCCATTTCCCTTCATTCTTATAAAAAAAAAAGTACAAAGGTGTTTTTTTTCTTTGTTTTGTAGATTGACGCTAAAGAGACTGAAGTTTTACTTTAAAACTTAGCCGATCTGAATGATTTCTGACTTGATAGGTAGCAATTAGTGCCACGAGGTATTGTGAGAAACTTGGTTTATGCATCTGTTAAGCCTTTTCTTCCTTCACTGTGATGGTTAAGATGGAGAATATTTTCTGAATTGAAGATAGAAGGCAAATACATTCCAGATGTGCAAATAGCTGCAAGCATACATGGACTTCAGTGCTATAAGAAAATAATTTATGTAGCACAGAAACTAATGTTGATGTTGAGGGAGAGGTTGGTGGAATTATCTGCAATGATACTTATATAATTGTTTTCTTTTATCCTTTTCTCTAAAATTATTTTACCAGGATAACATGCCTAAAAGTAGATCCACATGAAGTTTTATTTCAGTGACAAGTAGAGAGGTTATTTTTCAGTGAGAGTTGCAACAACTAGCACAGTGAACTGGGTAAGTCAAGGGTGCTCAGGAAACGAGTGTGTTCTAGTATCCTTAGCAAGGGTAAAACTTTAACATCTCCCTTAGGTACAACAAAATATGTAGCAAATATCATTAAAAAAAAAAAATTGAAAATATGAGACTGAACTTTGACAGCCATGGGGGTTTCACTGTATCTGAATACAAATGCTGAATCACCTATGTAGGCAGCCCAAAATCACTGATTTGGAAACTTAGGTAACATGATAACAAGTAATTATCAACCTTCTTCTGTATTCAGTGTAATACAGAATGCATTTATTAACTTATGCCTTTACAGTGAGAGAATAATTGACACTTTCAGCTGTATCAGCATACTCTCGATTGCAGGATGAAAATGTTGGAAGTATTAGTAAATGACTGTAAAGTACTAATGAAAAATAATTTTTAACTTTTGATTTCTTTTGATATTCTAAAAAAAAAATCTAGGGTTCTCACAAAGGAAGTTAAATATGTTTTTGAATTTGATTTTTAAAAGGAATGTAGAAAGACTAATCACCAAACATGTACTGTTTTCAGAATAAACAATAATGCCATCCTTTTGTAGATCTGAATACTTTCCTTCCTCATTGCAGTAATGCTAAGTTTCATGGGCAAGAGGTAGCACATACTGTTTCTAATCTTGAGCAATGTGTGTTAAATGACCGGCAAGTAGGTTCACACTGTTTGGCCAGCCAGCTGATGCTAAACTGTGATGTAATATCAAAGAGTTCTGTCTGATTTTTTTCTTTGTACAAGCATTAATTTGATCTCTCTTTTGCTATTCATAGAATTTTCATTAAAAACAATAACACTTGTGGAAACAAACTCTGTCTTTGAATAGGTTGAGATGAGATAAAAAATTGATGAGGATTAAAAGATTTGAGGTGAAGATGGAAAGACAGGAACTATGATCTCAAATGCCTTCTTTTGGAAACCAGAGGAAAAAAGTAAGCATTTTCTGACAATTGTTTTCTTTGTAGTGATGAATAGTAAGTCAGATGATACTGTTGCCATTTTTACTGGTGGTGAGTTGTTTACTGTTCAAAAACTATGGTAGAGCCCCATAGATATTAAATCATGGGTTCTCTAAAAGAATGTGGCACACTCACAATAATTATTAACAGCTGCAAATATAGTTCTGGGTGAAACAGAAAATGATTGATAACATTCTTGGCCCCTTAAAAGTGTGTACTATAAATGAACACTAAAGGCTCTAGTTCTTAAAATGGGCTGATGCCTAAATTCTTTGGAGGTTTTGGTATTTCAGGTATTTACTGGATTACTGTTTAAATATGTCGGCTGACTTATAAAATAGTAGAGAAAATCTCAGCATACAAAACGTCAGAATGCAGTCACCTAGAGGCAGTGAACAAGAAAGCGCCAGTTAAACTGGAGGCTTTATCTGCTAGTACCTGTCAACTGAAGAAATAAACAATTTGAAAAAAATGTGAGGAAAACCAAGCAAAGAACGTAGTTGTGCTTTTTCTTTTCTCCTGTGATGAAAATGTGTTGCTGAACTGATGTGATAACCATAAATCGACAAAGAATTCATTATTAGAAATAAGTGACAAGAAATTAAAAGATGATAGTGTTCATTTTGTGTTATAACAGTGCCTGGAGGTTCTGCCAGATATCAGAATTTTATTGGTCTTTAATTATTTCTGCAGTGTCAGATATAATGAGCCTGTGGTCTTTGAGAAGTCCATGTGGCCTACAGGAACCACAAATTAAAAAAAAAAAAAAAGGCTATATTTTTTTGGTCATGTAACAACAACAGTAAAACTGATAAGTGCCATGCTTCTAATTCTTAAATGAATACTGAGATAATAAATAGCTGAGGTAGACAACTCAGTGGTGCCACCAGTAGTAATTATAAACTGGGAAGTTTTAATGCAATGTGATGTTTTTATTGTAATGCAGTTATTCTTCTCAAGTGCTATTCAAACATTGCTTCACAATTCTCTGCCCTGGCTATGATCACTCTTTGTAGTCTGAAGAATTGCTGAGAGCTCACTCTTCATCTGAACTTCATTGCTCCTGTTCTCTAAATAAACAAATAAATATAAAAGTATGTTTAGTAGTGGTTCCCAAAGTTCTTTTTGATCACACTTCTGTGGGAAGACACCTGTGCTTTAATAGTTCTTCACTTTTGAAATGTGTTGATTTGCCTAAGAACAGATTGCAGAATTTAGACTTCTCTGTGTTAAATGTAGGTAAACAAATGAGCGGTTAATCAGTTCAGTTTCTTAAAGTTTGGCAAGTTTGTAAGAATTTTTATAGTACGTTCAATAGATTAGATAAGCATTAAACAGATCTGAAATCAAAGAGCAGATAGTACTAATTTTTTTTTTTTGAACAGTCTAGCAGTGACTAATTTCTACTGTGAAAACTACAATAAGGAAGAACTGGGGATATTTTACTGTGACTACTAAATTTTTTTAAATATAGAAAAAAAAATACTAAATGTTAGAGTCATAATATTATCCCATGCTTCTTAGTCCATCTGTATGTATGGTAATACATGAAGAATGAGATGTGAAGGTATGAAGGATTCTGTATTTTTTTAATAATTTCCTGAAAAAATAACAAAAATGTGTCATAGGGTATTTGGGTACATATGAATGTTAACTTGAGAAATTGCATCATAATTATGTTGCCCCAACATTTCTAAGCAGTTCACTGTGTTGGTCTAATCTGTATTTAAGACTATCACCTTAGAGTACATCAGTATAAGTTCATGTGCATCCCAAAGGAAAAATATGGTTGTATGTTTTCCGCTTGTTAGGAGAAGTGTCACATTTGACTAACTTTGCCACAGCTGATTAGTATCTTTACCTTTCACATTGTCTAGGCTGCTGCTTGGTGTTACTTTTGTTGCTGAGTGCACTAAATAAGATTGACCCCTTCAGATTTGGTACTCCTTCACAAGAGGACAAAGCTACTGATTAAATTGCATGCACATGTTAATATCTTCCATTCACCTCATCCTTGTTTTGGGAAGACTATAGCACTACCTGTTCCTTTAAAGAAAAAGAATGAGAGCTGTCAAGCTTGATTATTAGATGAAAATTTGCTTATATCAATGAATAAGCTTTAGAAAATGCTTTTTTTTTGAATATGAATTGCTCTTTTAAGCAGTTGAGATGCATCAGTATTAGCAGGTATTGCAGCATGAATTACTCAACTTTGATATTTGATAAATTTATCATCATATACAAAATAAATAAAATTTTAGTTATATTTCAGCGCTGCAGTAATGATTGGAGCTTCCATTTCCACTCTGAAATGACAGCAAAGATGGTTATTTTTTTCTGAATGTACATTCATGCTGTTATGTTTCTGTTAGTAATAGGTTGAATGTTATTCTAGCATACTTTAGAAAACTGCAGTCCCTCTTTTCCTGGTAGGCACTAACCTCTTATATGTAGTATATTCTATGTTTAAAAGGAAAGCTTTCCTATGATGGTAAAAAGAAGACCAGCTTTAACCAGGCTTGTTAAGTAGAGGACTATTTGTAAACTGAACACAAACAAAACCAAAGAATGAGCTGGAATTGAGTTTTCCTGTTACATGGAATATAACCTGGCTAGGGTAGCTGAATTTTAAAAACCTTTAGGACAAGTCTACCATGATAATTTGTCTGTTATTAATTTCCCTGTGAGTGTAATTATAAAGGGTGCTGTGCTATGCATGTTGCTGCAATACACCAGTGCTTCTCAGTTTCTTGAATAAAAACAAGTGAAGTATAATGTTTGATCTTTGTACTTATCAATGTGCTACTGAAGGCATATCATTTTCTTGTATCTTTTGGGCCATTTTCTTGCAGATAAGTGCTTGAGAATATGTTAGCTCTGGTGGAATTAGAAATTCTCATAATAGACCTTAGAATAAGCCATAATAGATGGCTTATTCTAAAGCACTGATCATTTATTTCCAAGGCTGCTGTTTTAGATTAGGAATGAAGAGAGAAGAGGAGGAATAAAAGTAATTAAATCATGACTGGAGGCATTTAAGAAGTGCTGGAGAAAGGCAGTCATCTCTATAACCAGCCTGTCAAAAAGAAGGAATGCAGATTCAAGTCTGGGGAATAAGTAATATTAATGAAAATGACAAAATTTTACCTTGTATCAATCCAGATTAAAGGGTGTCTGGAACATGTGCTTGATATTTACATTCAGTTGCTTACTTTAATATTTTAAGATAGCAAACAGTGACCAGTGAAATTCATTCTTGGGATTATGATAGAGAAGTAGTTCTCATTATAATTTAGGAACATTTAAATTCATAAAGCACAATAAAATGTGCATGACTGAGATCTTTTAAAATAAACTTCATATGCAGGCCTAAGAAAAACTGTGATTAGACCATCACTAATGAATCCATTGTAGTTAATTTTGTGTTAAAGAGAAATACAACACAAACTGCCCATGTAATTTAATATGTATGTGATTTGAAGTTCTGAGACAGTTAAGTTCAAAAAGTTTTGCCACTGGGTGCATGTGGCTTGTATAAAATGTATTTCAGGCCATGGGGGTGTACACTGAGAATGTGTATTATTAAGAACAATTAATAAGAACAGGTGTGTCACTCCTCTTTAAATAAGTGACTGTTCACTTGCAGTCTATCACAGCTGTAGTAGCTGTCCACTGAAGAGGTACATGATGCAGACTTGTTGCTTTCTAAATACTGATCCCAGTCTTATTCCCTGAAATGTACTGTTATGTGATAGCCTGAGTAGAAATTTCTAAATGTTGACGTGCTTTCTGAGTAGCCAAATCTTGGTGTAGCTCCAAGCATGAAGTATTTACTGGAGCTGATTTACTGAAAAGTCCAATTCTTGAGAGAAAGCAAACCTCTAGAGTGGAATGCAGTGGATAATCTGTTGCATAATCTGTTCCACATTCCCTAAGCAACAGGACCTGCAGTCTTAACTGTTGGCAGTCACCAGGAGAGTCTGGTATGCTGATTTTAAGAAAAAAACAACATAGAGTATGGCATAGGGTAGAGGTTCCATGGTCAAAACCTGTGACCATCCTACTGAAGAAGTACTTACTGTTCTATTGGAACTGATAAGCTGTCTTGTTTTTTTTGCCCCAAGATAGTATTTTTCCACTGTTGTATAAAAAAAACAAAAAACAAAAAACAAAAAACCAAACCCAAACAAAAACAAACAAAAAAACCACCATATTTTTGAGTAAACTTTGCAATGCAAAGGTATATTTAACTAGAGTCACTCAAGCTCCTCCTGAAAGTAAGAAAATAGTATGAAAATGGCTTACGAGAGATAGGTTGGGCTGCAGACAAAAGTCAAGTAGGGGAGATATATCATCACAGACAAGTGAATTTGCCACTGACTTTCAGGATGCATCAATGGGCTGAGCCTTTCTTCCTGCCACCCATAGGGTTATTTTTGAAGTAAGACTTACATGCTTGATTGCACCAAATCCTTCCCCAGGAAACTTAGGAATCTATAGGGTTATTCCATGATTTAATGTGATTGTAGTCAGACATTAATATTAATCTTACCTGTTTTGCAGACAATCTCACCTGCAATCCAAAGGAATCTCTAATACTTTTTTTTTAATTCACTAGTCTAGCCATGAGAATTTTATTTGAGTGAGACCAAATTTCTTAAGGGTGGCCGAGAGAGCTCATTTGATTTGAGTAGATGAATTGGGCATGAGTTGTGTTATGTGTGAATCTGTAATAGTGATATTTCATATATTGAAGGTGACTAGATTTATGGAACTGAATGGGGCATCACTCAGAACCTGAGTTCAGCCACTCCCCCATCCTGAGGATATCTGAGGACAAGCTGGACTGCAAGGGAGCTTATCTTTTGCCAAACTTTTCGGCCCATTTCATGCAACTCAGGGTTACTGCTGAAATGTTGTGGAGGAAGGGATTATTTTGGGTAGCTCACACCTCTATTGTGAAAATCTTTCACAAGTGTGAACAGAAATAGATAAAGCTTAAAGCATCTCTGACACTGCAGCTGACTACTGACTGAGAAGGTAAGATCACCTTTTTTTGTTTTTTAATGAGACTGGAAGTTATGAAAGTGAGATGACAAATAAGTACATATA